GTAGACTATCACCTTCCTTCTCCACTCCTCAGGCCAATCATAATCATCCAATCTGTTTGTGGTCTGCATTCTTTGAAGTCTTACTGATAACTGAGAATCTTGAATCAATAACATGGGTCAAGAAAATCTTGTATTATCTGGATTTTACCTGTTTAAACTCGCGCCAATTCTACTCGCGCACCCTGTACATGTAAAAAAATAAATTAATGTCACTGTGCTATCCTGCACAGTGACTTTTCCAAACACCCTGTATAATAACAGTATCATTTGAGAACTGGTTGTTAGCACTTTACAGCTGCCCATCCAATAGTTGCAAGCTGTGCATACACATGACATCACATCACTGGAAACTTCTTGAACCATGTGTTTCTCAATAGAAATATTCTCTTCATGTCCAGATCCAATACCCTGAATTTTCCAGTTTTATAATCACCCAGTCTACCATTGATATTTCATTTGGCCATTAAAGAAGGAAGATTAGATATCAAATTTTCCTAACCAGGCAAAATCAATTTTGGGCACAACTGCTTTTGGCACTTATGGATGTCACCATTGAGGAATGGAAGAGAAAGCATGGTCTTTTATTCTACTCTAAGAATACGTGGAATGCTACATGAGTGATGGAGGAGTAGTTACCCCCTGAATGCAATAACTTCAGTATCATAGTGGGAGCATCCAGAAACTGAATGCATTTATGATATTTAGCAGGGTAGCTAGAGGTCTGACACAGCAACCCTGCCATCAAGAGAAGGCTATGGATTACATGTTATTATGCAGGAAGGATAAATGAAGACCTGAGGAACATGAGACCCTAACTTATTTTGCTGCAATCATGAAAAACTAGAGATAAGAATTTCAAACACGAAAATTCAAAATGAGAAGATTTAGTAAACATTTCATTTCTGAATGCTCTGCTATCTAATCTAAAACTCAAAAGTTTAAAGTACTGTGCTTTTTCTGTTTTTCTTTTACAATAATGCTCACAAAATTTCTGCCAACTGCCCCACCAAATTAAAACTGTAAGAAGGCAGTGTCATAAATCACTCATAATTTGGTGCAATGGTGTTTTAAAAAAAATTCACAGAGTTGAAATATCATTTGTTGCTTATTTCCCTCCTATTTACACAGGTGACATCAGCATCTTCCACCTGCACAAGTTGTGATAATCAGTGAGACTTACAGATGAATTCCTCTCAGACAATTCCTTTTGGAACATTCCTAATCAGTTCTGAGTAAAGTAAATCAGATATAAAAATGTGGATCCCACAGCAGCCAATGCATTAACCCTTTGCGGTCCACTGGTGGACCTAGTATGACAAACTCCAAAGTGTTACAAATAAAATGGACAGGAGAGGGATAATACAGATCCTAATGTGAACCTATCATTTATTTTCAGCATGCACCCTCTCTTCTTTTGCATAATACCACCATAGAGAAATGGATCACTGCATAATATTTCTCACGTATTTCAGACTTGCAATAATAAATTTGAAGGAGCTCTTCCTCATTGAATTTTATCAACGATGTTGAAACCCTCTTATCTTGCTAGCAGTAAGGAATTTCAGGACATTATGTGACTCACCAGCAGGATCCACAACCTCTTTGTAATTCTGACCAGACTCAAAATTCGATAATGGTGTGTGACATGCAGTGGAAAAAGGCATGACCTTGAATCCCCGATAAACAAGTCCTTTGGAAAACAACTGCTTGAACACCCACCACACTGACTCCATGAATGATGGATAAAGGGTCTTGTAGTCATTCTCAAAATCTGCAATAGTATTTGAAATATGAAGGGACAAGTTCAGTACACAAATGAAAAACGATGAGGAGGATAGAACAACCAATCCAGCGGCCAAGACGGGAGATGACATCCTGCCATTCCTTGGCATAGCGCATGACAATCTTGCGGCACTCTGCATTATACGCAGCTATTCCCATCTTCTCAACATCTTCACTCCCCTTGATTCCCAGGGTTTTGTCTATCTCATATTCCTGAAAAAAGGCAGTAATAAGGGTGTCACAGTTCATCCAACTTAATAATCTTTCATGAAATAAAACAGTTGTAGTATAGGCCTATATCCAAGCTTGGTTCTTTTTTTTCCTCTTTAGCTAGACACAATTGAGTTCCTAAACAGCACACCTGCAAAATTTCTCAGTCAATGATTATGGTACTATAGTTTGAATGACCATTTTACAGTCATGTATCAGTAACTGTTGCATGTAATACAATCAATTCTCAAAAAGTGGAGATGGTCTCATGACCATGAGAGTACTGTAATTAATAATTCCCACAATCATGTAACTGAATCATAGGATCTATAGAGCAATCCCTTTGAAATTCTGAGGATATTTAAGAATTTAAGATAACTGTTTATACAGTTCCTGTAATAGAATAAATGGTGTTTCTGAAAAAGGATGAACCACGGAAGACATTTGAAGCCAAGATGGAAAAACTATCACAATCCACGAGCCTGATACTGATTATTCATCTATCATCGATTCAAATGAAGCTCATCAAGACTATTGACATAGAAGGCCAGCTTTAAAAAAAAGAATCACAATAAATGAAAGGGTAAATGTGGCATGGATGATATGTAATCAGAGCAATTGTGCATGTCCTCCATTCCACTATCGGAATGAGCTCTTGTCCATTTTCATTATTCAACTTCTTTTTTAATTATTGTACATAGCCTTGCCTTGGAGCAATGAATTCAGAAGAAATTCAGAGGGTATGTTGGAAAAATATCCATCCATGTGCAGTAAAAGTTTTGTGAAAATAGCAAAGGTGAGAACAGAGATATATATAGCTTTATTGTCCTTGAACATTTTTTTGGCCTTGGATATTTCTTCTCACAAAAGATAAAGATTTCAAGTTGGGATTGAATTATACCTGTAAGCTGTGTTCAAGAAGTTCAAGAACAAGTTCACTGAAATTATTGGACAAATTAAAAACCAATTGGTCAACCTGATGATGCATAATATAAGCTATACATACCACAGGAAGGCCATGCGTATCCCAGCCAAAACGTCTCTCAACATGATAGCCACTCTGATGGGCATAGCGTGTCACAATGTCCTTGATTGTACCAGCCAAGATATGTCCATAATGTGGCAGACCCGTTGCAAATGGGGGTCCATCATAGAATGTGTATCTGTGAAAAAGAGAAGACCAATCACTTTGAAGGTAAGGGTTTTGACAAGGATGAGCTGTTGTTCTCTTCCTCACCTTGGCTTGCCTTTGGACTGCTTGAGACATGATCGAAATGCATCTATCTCCTTCCATAATTTCATTACCTTTTCTTCCTCTTTCGGGAAGTCAATGGTCTCAGGAAGGGATTCCACACCCGGCAATGACATCTTATATTTAAGTTTTGAATAAATACCTGTAACACAAGACAAATATGCTCAAGTTCCACCAACCAGTTCATCAAAAACAGTACATGTTCTGCTGTGTGGGATCAAAGACGAAGTTACAGAAGATGTTTCTCCTCCATTGGATGAACATATATCCAATGGCTTCTTATCATTTACATAAAATGGCACCATTTCAAAATAAAAGATGCTTTGTTTTTCAAAGATCCCTTCCTTTATTTCATCCATACAATAAGTTCACATTTTCAGGGATACATAAAAAAAACTAAAACCTTTTGCTTGACAGGGTATTCCCATTATGAATAATCCATGCGGTCCCAAGATAAAGTATAAAATATTTCCAGAAAAATATAAGCCTGTGCATGAGATATATGGAAATTGCACATATAACACTATGTCTGCCAAATGGCTATGCATACCACTTTCATGTACACTTCTTTCTACCACCACAGGGCTCAACAAGGGATATCAGAGAACAATGCACACTTCCTACACATTGAGGATTTATCACATTTCTCAAGGTATGAAAGAGGGAAATAGTGAATACAGAAAGAAGGATATTGCAACCATTCCATAGATAAATTGGCAGAAAGCAATTGGTTTCCTATGAACCAAATCAACTTGAAATAGTCTATATGAAACTTAATAAACTAAAGTACTGATATAAAATACACCCCTTACCAATTTCACATGTTATCTACATGAAATATACTACCTTTATTATGGAATAAATTTATGTAAGTAAATTTATATAAGAGAATGAGGTTCAAAGAATATCTGACAACTTCCAAACTGACAAAAAATTAAAATAGAATTCTTGTAGGCTGACAAAAACATCAGTGATCAGAAGTCAACCTGTTAAAGTGTTGCAGTAATCCATGGGAGAAAAGCATTTTACTCCTTGCAAAGACTCAATGAGTCAGCCATCTAGATCAGATTTGATTTAGTATCTAACCAGAGCATAACATTGATTAAACCCCCGAATCATGAGAGAACACCATGAGAAGTATGAAACGATCAAAACAGTGAAGTTATTTATGTTCAAGTCCATATCAGTCAATGTCTATGATAGTAAAAACAGCTCCAAAAATTTCTTGACAATGGGATCAAAGATTTAAAGGGAAGCTTACAGCAAGAAAATTCATATTGATAACAGGTTTCACATGATATTGCTTGACCATATCACCCAAACTTTCAAATCTAGGCCTTTATCTAAGCATGATAGGGATGCTATAAAAAATGGTTTAGGAAAGCAGTGTCATAACAGTAGTGTAAAGAGGAAAATGAAAGAAAAAGGCAGCAAGCAACTAACTGTGAGATTTGTAACAGCAGAGAAGGTGTCTATTATGTAATGCTCACATCTGATACTCCTGTACCTGAGATCAAAAAGCCTCACTCAATGGTTCCTATTCACATTAGCATTAAGTACCCACTGATGTGATGCCATCAAAGACTCTTCAAGCTGGAACTGCCAAGAAAATCCACTAGCATTGGAGTTACCAATGTGTAGGCCACAACTTGCACAAATTAAATACAGTCGTCCCTCGCCACTTCGCGCTTCGACTTTCGCGGCTTCACTCTATCGCGGTTTTTTCAAATACTGTACAGTAATTTTTATTTTAATTGTAATACAGGGGTGTATAATTGACTCAGACA